TGTATTTTGGGCTGCAGGACTATTTGGTCTGGTTATATTTTGGTTAATTAATTGATAATACGAAACGGTCCAGTCCATATATTAATGGGGACGCTAACTGTACAGTTTTTCTTTCTTAATTTAATGTTTTTCGTATGTCTTTTTAAAATAATAATGTTTATTCCTGCAAAACAGTGGCCAACGTTATGTGTGCTGTGTAAGAAAAGCTGAGTATTTCTCATTTGGAGGGAAATATTTTTGCATATTTACAGAAACTACCATATCCATGCTCTTTTTTTGAATACCAGTTTATACATTTTAAAGGTGCAGATGTTCAATATTTTTTTTTAATTAAAAAAACGTTTATAAAATTAAGAAATGAGATTATGTACTTTTAGTAAGGCTCAGTAGCTATATATAAAAAAGAAACTGTACTCTGGACACCTAAGGGGTCGCCCCCTCATGGGTGCCACCATATTGCCATTAACTGAACAGCCTGTCCTACAGTTTGCAGCAGCATTTAGTAAACTAATGCAATGCATCCATGTCAATAGCTGTCAGTATAAAGTCTAAAATTACGTATGCTATTGGAATGAATAAGCATAGTGTAGCAAAAACGTACTTAGTGCAACTTTAAATCTAACCAGTGCTACAACTCATCTTGAGCCTTTTAAAAATAATGACATTACCGTTCCAGCTCTCACTATACATCAGACTTTGACTGCTGATGTTCCGCCTACTGTGGTCGCCCCTGAAACCAGCTCTCCTCCAGCTTCTCCTGCAACCCCTGGACCCCCCGAGCGAGGCAGCTACAATGTCACCAATGCCACTGATGCTGTCTGTCTCTTGGCACGGATGGGACTGCAACTCAACATTAGCTTTATTTCGAACTCTCATGGCAAAGTACTTGCACATGCAGCTTTCACTTTCATTGGACAGGAGTAGCTTGAAACATTCTGCTAAATATCTCTTTTTCTGTTCAGTGGGTAAACAAACAAACTTTTTTAAATGACAGTTTAATTTTCCATTCTTAGCTTGTTGTGCACCTGAGATGGCACATAGAAAAAGGACCTGTATGCTTCATTTCTATGACAAATACCGTTTATTTTGCCATTATTAAAATTCCTTGGGTTGTCATGTAAATAAAGGGATTTGCTGGGATAAAGGGATTTGTATGACTATTTTATGATTATAATTCAGAGTAATGAAGGTTTAGCCTCATTTGTAAATGTAATCTAACGGTAAACATACCTTTCTTTCCAGACTGTCCAGGAGGTCTTGAACCTGCATCCAAACCTGGTTAAATTCTCTGGATCCTGCGATCCGGACAGTGCAACTCTCATACTCACTGAGGACAACATTACTCTGACTTTCAGCTTTTCTTTGGTAAGTTTCGCATCTCCTCCAATTATTTACCCTAATGCCCTCTTAAATTATTCAGACCATGTTGATATTATAACATTTGAAATATGCTTGTTTCCTTTTCAGAATTCCACATTAAACAAGTATCATCTTAGTGGGTTGGAGTTGTCAGCTGCATTGCCTGATATGGCTAGTAAGTCAGTATTAAATATTCCATGTTTAATAGTTTTAGTTTTTAAAATCTGAGCAAATTCTATTATTTTTTATTTTTTTGCCCAGAGCGCCTTGTTTTCAGGAACACCACTCTGAACTACATGGTGGGAACCCTGGGCCACTCTTACATGTGTCAGAAGGAGAAGACCTTGAGCGTTACACAGGATTTCTCTCTCAACACCTTCCAGCTTCAAGTGCAGCCTTTTGGTGTCAATGGAGATTTTGGAGCAGGTTTTTTTCTTTTTTCTCTTTTAACATTTCTTAGTTTTGTCCTTTAATTCTTCAAGGAATGTTCTGGGTTCAACACAAGATTAATCCGCAGCATAAAATGCTTAGTTGTCATAACAATGTGAAGCTGATAAACTTAACTTTTGCATAAGGTTAAGGTGTCGTTCATCCACTCCAATAAAAATGACACAACAATATTACTAGAATTTTAATTAAAAAAAAAAATAATCTAAAGTATGTTTATATTTTGCCATATTTTTTTCTATAACTTTTTTTGGCAAAAAAAAAGGACTATAGTGTCCTGCACCCACTAGTAAAAAACAAATATATATAAAACATTATATCTGCTGTCTGAATAATTTCAGTCAAACCAAAAATTATTCAGACACCAGATATAATTTTTGATATTTTTTTTACTAGTGGGTGCAAGATATTCTTCATACAGTGGACTACCAGTAAAACTGATCAAAATTTGGGACCAAAAATTATTCATACACTTTGACCTGACCATTTTTTGCTTAAGTGTTTTTTCTTTAATTGCCAATGCGACCTTTTTACACCACAAAACAAAATTAAGCATTGCTTGGTAATTGGTTGACCTGAATTGGTATTATCTAATTGTGTACTTTAACAGCTGACAGCTGTTCAACCTAATTCATTATATACCTTTCTATCAAAGTTATCTGACATTATCAAGATGAATTTGTTCTGACCAGTGTTGGGGAAAGTTACTTTTAAAAGTAATGCATTACAATATTGCGTTACTCCCTAAAAAAGTAACTAATTACGTTACTTAGTTACTTTTTATGTAACGTAATGCGTTCCGTTACTTTTGCGTTACTTTTTAAATATGAGCAGGGCTTGATTGTTTTTAATATAAGAAGGTCTATTTATAGCAAATGTAAAAGCCCTTTCACACCAAAAAGTGTAATGAATAAACCTCAGGCTGAAGGAAAAGTAAATTCACGTCTGTACAGAAGAACGTAGGAGAAGAAGGTACACTCTTCAGCAATAAAAAAAACAATGAAGCACAATTGTTAGTTTATCTAAAGTAATTTTTGCTACACACACACACACACACACACACACATACATACATACATACATATTTCAGAAATGATTTGTGTTTTCCAATTTTTCTTTAGTTTTTTCACCACCATCTCCCTTTCTCTCCTCTTGCTCTGTCTCTGTTCTAGCTGAGGAGTGTGATCTAGATGAGGACGACATGTTGATTCCCATTATTGTGGGTGCTGCATTGGCTGTTCTAGTGCTCATCGTGATCCTGGCCTACCTTATTGGCAGGAAGAGAAGTCATGCGGGCTACCAGACCATCTAACCTCATGTAATCTTCAAGCCAGGATGTGTAGGCACCACCGATTTCTGCTCTCATCTGGACTCAACACTACGACAACTGCAGCTGCCTAGTTTTTAACCCGCCCTGCCCTCTGCTGGTGTCTCACCCTGCCACCGCTCAGGTGGACCTGCGCTTTCTGGACTTTTTGTTGTATTATGTTAAACATAGTATAATTAATGCATACTTAAGGGTGCAGGGAAAAATCAAAGGTGTGTTTGAGGCTCTAGGTCATGCTAAATTATTGTTTCCAGGAACCAGATTATGCTTATCTAGAGGAATGCCTGGTGTTTGTTGTTATTTAGGCTTAATCTGGGTTAGAAAGCACATGATCTGTTTGGTACCTCATATTCTTAAATTTAACCTCATGCGTTTATTTATATAAATACAAGGATTTAGGGAAAACTGATTATGCTGTTACTGCTCAGTATAAAAGGGACTAGATATTTAACACTACTTCCTGATCCTGATCTCAAAGTGATTTAATTTGGAGTTGAACACTATACAGCTTTTGAGATTCAACAAATTGGAGAAAAATAATTAATTTAATTGTGTTAAAAAAGCCTTGCATAACAGTGTTGAGTCAGATGTCAGTTTGGTACTAAGTTTTAATGAAAAGAAATTCCACATCTAGCCTGGATCTCTCCAGATCTGCTGAGGCAGTGGGTACCAAAGAGATTCTTAATTTATACAAATAGAATATCCACTTTCTAGAGTAGAATACCCCTCAATAACACTAAATAGCTGTTTCCCTCTCATACTACATATCAAAACTATATAGCCTGCTTGCTTCCATTTAGCATTGTATTTGCACTCATTCAAAAATGTTAAAAGGGAAATTCTGCTAGAGTGAGGATATATTATGGTTTTTTGCACTACTGGATGGACAAAGGGTGTGATTCCCACTAACACAACAGGAAGTTCTGAATAACGACGTAGGTTTAGACTATTATAGGCCCAGGTAAATGGTTAACTTACAAACACAAGGAGTGCACTAAAAACACGCTTGATCATATGGTGGATGAATCTCTCCTTTCTAATGCACCTTCATATGGAATGACTGCATAAATGGAGTTGTTGTGGATATTGAAGTGTTGCCTTGATTGCTATGAAGTTCATGTTTTAAGGGAATGCGATTCTAAGTTTCTAAATAAAGTGAAAAATAAAAGCCAAGAAAAAGAGTTTGCTTGTTAAACATCTTTATTTAGTTAAAACCTTTAGTTATAACACAAAACTGATTGTTATTAGTAAAAAAAAAAAGAAAAAAGTAAAAAGTTAATGCTTAGATTGTTCACTCAAAAATGAAAATTCTAAATATCTACCAGTAAATATCAGTAGGCTAAAGATCATACAGGTTTGGAACGGCATACCTCCAGTAAATGATAACATTTTTTGGGTGAACTACTGTTCAAAGGGTTAGGGTCAGTAAAATCTTTTGAAAAATTAATACTTTTATTCAGCAAGGACACATTCAATTAATCAAATGTCAAATTTAAGACGTTTAAAAAGCATTCAATAAATGCTTTATTGGTTTTCCATTAATCAAACAATATTTATCACGGTATCCATGAAATATTAATCAACACCAAATCAGCAAATTAGAATGATTTCTAAAGGCTCATGTGACACCGAAGACTGGAGTAACAGCTGCAAAAAAAATTCAGCTTTTGCCATCACAGGAATAAATTACAACTTTAAACTTTTCTATATAAATGGAAAACATTGTTCTAAATTGTAAATGATACTTTACAATGTTACTGTTTTGCTGTATTTTTGATCAAATAAATGCAGGCTTGGTAATCTTAAGAGACATCTTTCAAAAAAAAAAATCTTACTGACCCCAAACTTTTGAAAGGCAGTGTATCCCTTTCATTATGTTTAAAATATTCATATAAAAGCTTAACACACTATGAAGTTTTCCCACACAGTAAGTAATAAATTCTCATCTCGCATGCTGAAAATGCAGAACTGTATGTCCATGTTCACCATTTAGTGTAAAGGAGGGTTTTAGGCAGAAGTAATGTGATTCCTACACATCTTCCTGAGTTTAGTAATTGTTGCTGTAGAGAGACCTCCAGGCTCCATAAAGATTTTCTGAAGAGAGAAGACAAACAAACAATCAAGAACAAACACATCATTATAAAAGAGGTCTGTAAGTATTAGTTTAGTTGGTGAATAAACAGCATCCACAGAATTTACCTGCATGAATGTATGGCAGTCCTCTACGTACTCCCCGTGAGTGATCTGTTTGAAGCATTCACAGATTTCTGGGAGACTCTGCGCCTGTGAGATGAGGTTCTGATGGTGACGAATCAGCGTCAAAGCCACTCGGAACAGGATCTTGGATCCCTCGTAAAACAGGCAGTCCCATATTCTCAGCACTGTCTGAGAAAAACACAAGGCTACCAATCTTTACATTCAATATTGGCATTACAAACTCTACTTATGCTACATAAAACCAACTAGTGATTTCATAAGATTTTACAATTGTATGAATTCAGTGACTTCAAAGCTTACCACTGAATTCTTTTCACAAAGTACAACCTTTGACTTCATCCTCACCTCTACAGGAAGTATGTCAACATACAGGCAGATGAACCAGCGTGAGACCACCAGGGTCCACATTACATCGTGTCTATTCATGACCTGCCAGACAGCAGGAACCTTCATCCTGACAAGCTCTCCAAGCACCTCTTGATCCATTTGAAGCCCCAGCATTGTTGGTGTGTAATAGTCTAGATAAAAAAAAAACATATATATGGAACATGATGAATGGATTTATGATGAATTCATAATTTCTGAGTATAACTTATTCAGATGTATGTGGTGGGGTGATTTGAGCACTTCAAAACTATCATTAACTTTGCAGAGCATTTATTACATTAACATTACAGTTAACAAATATGAAATTGCTGTGTTAAAAGAATAGTTTACCCCAAAATTAAAATTTTGTCTTCATGTACTCCCCCTCAAGTCATTTCAAACCTGTATGACTTTCTTTTTTCTGCGGAACACAAGATATTGGTAACCAAATAGTTTTGGTGACCACTGACTTCCCAAATACGGACACATATGGAGCTAATTCTCAAACATTTTGTTTTATCTTCCAGGAGAAGGAAAGCCATAACGGTTTGGTTACATGAGGGTGAGTAAATGATGACAGAATATACATTTTTGTGGGGAACTATCTCTTTAACGAATGGCAAGATTTAAGCTTAAATTACCTACAGCACTAGCCTAAAACAATGGCTAAACAGCTATTTAGCTATTGGTTAACATTATTTTCCCCGCCCACAAGGTCTAGATGATGTCATCTGAAACAGAAAGTTGTTTCAGGTTGTGGAACAATTTATTACATTTTGATTAACAGAATGATTAACCTATGCAGTCCTGGTTATATACAATAGTGGCTAAAAGTGACCGACCTGGTAAGATCTTGCCAAGTAAAGCATTCATTAACCAGAAAGACTTCTCTTCATCTTTGGTGATGACGAGGAGGTATCCAGCAATAAAGTTCATTCCCTAAAATGGCAACAAGGGATACATTTCAGCAGCCTACTGATTTGAATGCAGACGGGTACAACAGGTTCAGTCATTATATTGACAGGGTAAACAACACAAAATTACAGCAGTTTAGAGTGTCGTACTTCCTCACTCGTTATAATTGACTATTCTCTAGTATATACAAAACAATAGTTTTAGATTCTCATCTACAGTAGGAACTTCAATACATCCTGGATTCAAGCGACACTTTAGTTATAGTGGCCATGTGTGTAAAAGGGCATGTGTACATGACAGTAGTACCTGACAGTAACCAACATCCTTATTGTGGTGTCCATAAGCCAGAAGTACATTAAACAGGGCTTTTTGTAAACATGGCTGGGAGGTGGCACGGAACTGAATGTTGTCAGGAAAGGTTCTGTGCATATCTGTAAAAAAAAGAAATCTCAGAAATATTTTGTTTCCCATATGTCCCATCCAATCTGATTTAAAACTATGCTTTAAAATAAAACATGGTTTCATGACTGGAGAAATAACTTACCAGCACGTATAACCTCTTCTATTTTAGGGTCATGCTCAGGCTTTAATAGAGAATGATAGTAGCCAGGATTTCTGTCCAACTGGTCCTGGGCTCCACTAGCTGCCATCCAGATCTGAGTGCGATGTTCACATGGAACCCCCTTCCTCACATATCGCTTCACTGCAAACCCAAATGACAGCTTTAAAAAGTGAAAAAATTTCTTTATCCTTTATGTGTCGATTCAATAAAATAAAAGAATAAAACAAATTAACTAAATTCAATTGCCTACCTTTTATATTTTTCTCAACATTTACAGTGCCCTGCAAAAGTTTCGACCACTTCTTTGACCTTCTAGTGACAACAGCTAAATGCTTGGACATAAAGTCCTCATAGGATTCATAGTTGAAATCTTCCGCTCTCTCAAATCCATATTGGTCTACCCTAGAAACACATTTAAAGACTTGTTTTAAAGACTTGTGGGAATACTGTTAAAGAATAATAACAGAAACTTTAATGGAAATACCATAACAATATGAAGCTAAAATAAAACGAGTTCATTATTATTTTGTTTACATTACATTTTCTGAAATGTCTTTTACTTTTTATTTTTATTTTTTATTTATTTTTTTATTGAATCACTCAAATTCAACACTTTACAGTAGCCAGGGGGTGAACACAAAGAAAAAGTTATACAAAATTACAGTGAAATAAAGAGAAAATAAAAAATTAAAAATAAATTACATAAAAACATGGAAATGTTTACATACATTAATAGATCTGAGTGCGATTTTCAAATGGAACCCCCTTCCTCACATAACGCTTCACTGCAAACCCAAATAACAGCTTTAAAAAGTGAATAAAAACTTCATCCGTTATGTGTCAATTCAATAAAATAAAATAATTAAATTAAATTGCCTACCTTTCACGTTATTCTCCACTTTTACAGTGCCCTGCAAAAGTTTCGACCACTTCTTTGACCTTCTAGTAACAACAGCTAAATGCTTGGACATCAGATCCTCATAGGATTCATAGCTGAAATCTTCTGATCTTTCAAATCCATATTGGTCTACCCTACAGACACATAAAGACTTGTTTTAAACTTGTGGGAATACTGTTAAAGAAGAATGTAATAGACACACCATAACATTCTGAAGCTAAAACAAGACGAGTTCATTATTATTTTCTTTACATGACATTTTCTGAAATGTCTTTTACTTGTTTAAGTGTTCATATTGACACTGACGCAGGCATCACCTGACGCACAGGTGTTTTGGACCATCTCGTGGCGACCGTTCCACTTTCCATAATATAGCGATTTGTATTTTATAAGTAACATCACTTCATCATAGTAATATAAAGTCAGGTTCATACCTCTGGCAGTCGTTGCTGTCTGAACTGGCGGAACATTCCGTGCTTTGATCATTAAAGTGATTCTCCATGTAGAGTTTAGTGCGTCTCTTCCTTCCATCGGTCTCTAACTGAGCTGAGCTGAGCTGAGCTGTTTATATAAACTCCTCCCCTACACCGAAACCTGGCATATGCACAGGTTTTTCATTTTACCTTGCGTATTGCCTGTTTGATTTTATAGTGTGTAGTTATGTTGTCTATTATTTTAACTCGACGTTTTAACCATTTAAAATATTTGTTTTGAGTATTAATATGGAAACTTAGGTCGTTAGGTTCAAAATAATTTATGCAGTTCACTTGATCTACTGTAAACTTCCCAGCAGGTGATTGGATGGTTGGAAAGCAATGAAAATACTGGGCAAAGGCCAACCCTATTAGAGATATTATATTATTAATTATATTATATGATTATATTATAATTATATTACAGGCTATGATTATATTCGTTTTTATGTTATAATGAATTAAATAAATATTTAGACTCATATTATATATTTATTATAAATAATGTATTATTTATTTATTATTGAATTACACCAATATTTATCACTTTGTTTCACTTTTGACTACAGTAACCAACCAGTACTGATTAGATCTATAAATAAAACTGCATGCAAAAATAACCCAAACATAACATTTAAAACATTTGAATAAATGTGGTTTTGGTACATAACATTATTATTGTGGCAAAGTATTTCATCCATATTTTTTTGTTCTCGATATGATATTTAGTTTTCAGAAGTCCTGTTCATAACGGAAAAAAAGTGAATAGCACTGTCGTTGTTTGATTTGTTTGTGAAATATTATTAGCATACATTTCATAAAATGAACCAGTTTTTTAAAACTAGTATTACTTTGTCATGCTTGATGCATTAAAACAAATTCCAAACCGGATATTCTTTCCGGCCGTTTACTTTGGCAAAATAAAGGTCTCCTAGGCTTTCCTTTTCCAGCAGCTACTGTCGCTTAAAATGTTATTTGACTCCACATACAGACAAAATGTATTTTTAAAAATTAGGTTAGTCTTCCGTTTGTATGTACTGTGAAAGAAATAAAACGTAAATAAAACGAATGTAATCCTTTTAAAATCACGTTTTTGGCTTTCAGACTTTTATTTTAAATAATTTATCCAGCGCCATTTAGGGAAAGGAGAGTTTTGTTTCCTGCTTCAGCTTCAGTGGGTGATGGCGGGGCTCCATCTCTCCACATCTAACATGTTACAGACTAATTTCTTCTTTTCTTCATGGGTTGAAATTGTTTCCGCCGCCTATAAACATTAGGACGAACGTGTGATAATATTCTCTCGAACTAGTTTGCGGTAAACGCGAGTGGAAAGTGTCGGATCCGTGGCCGTATATATCTGCCGTTGTATTTTAAAATGGCTCCAGTTCAAATCGGTTCGGACGGGCAGCTGGTCCTCGCCGGGGGTCCGAGCTCAGCCCCGCAGCCTCCTCCGGGAGCCTCGGCCACTCAAGGAGTCCGGCTGAGCCTCCTGATCGAGTTCCTGCTGCAGCGAACCTACCATGAGATCACTCTCCTGGCTGAGCTGTGAGTTCATGAGAGATCAGACCTGTTCTGCTCATTGGTCAGGCATGTTTAAATCAAGTTACATCTAGTTTAGCACTGGCCCATATGTTTCCTTGACAAATGTTTTACTTTGCAGATCATGTCAGCTCGTTTATAAATCTTGATTTTAAGCTGGTAGAGATTATATGGGGGTATATAAATTATGTGGGGATGTTGCTGCAACTCTTCCTGACCCTTGTATGACTTCTTACCTGTCTATGTTTATTTGGTTAACCATGTACAATTTGTCAGGGCGAAGTCATATTTTAACTAAGCTAGTTTAATTGAATGGTCTGCTTATAGCAGCCTAGGTGTATTTATGGTGGATATAGTGGGTGACACAGGTCTTAAGTTTTATCTGTGGAACAAGTCTATTAATATCGAGTATGCTGTTATTGCAATAAGAGCATAAATAGAGATGTGCACATTTTCTTGTTCTGTTACTTTTATGGATCTGTATTGTTATGTCTTCCAAGTTGTCTAGATGTAAGATGTAAAATGTTTTGTGCTGTCATTTGATGTTATTTAACCTTATCTTTATGATTTTCACAGACTTCCTCGAAAAACAGACATGGAAAGGTAAGAAACTACCATGGAGTTTCCACTTAGATTCTCAAAAACATGAATGTAATATAGGTTACACCAGAGGTTTTCAAGTGGGGGCTGCAAGGCAGTACTAGGGGTTCATGGAAAAGTTTAAAAAGAAATGTTTACTAATGTATTTACCTAGATAAATAAATGAGTAAATGAATGAATGTGTGAATAAACATATAAAAAAATTGCACTAATGTGATTATTTATTTTCCAAATAATATTTTAGACATATTTATAACATACATTTTTTACAATAGAAATTAGGTCTATATACACAAAACTGTATAGATGACTTTTCAGATTTTAGGTTGGGGGTCCCTCACAGGATTTGAGGGTCCTTGGCTTCTAAAAGACAGAAAACCTGAGATAGATTATGCTTGCATATGAATGTAACTGATTATGTCCTCTCTTACAGGAAAATTGAAATTGTTCAGTTTGCCAGTCGGACACGGCAGCTCTTCGTACGTCTGCTTGCTCTTGTGAAATGGGCAAGTAATGCTGGGAAGGTGGAGAAATGTGCGGTACGTGAGTTATTTCGCACTTCCAATCTGAGTTATTTTCATTCTTGTTGAGGTAGTACTCATTCTTAGTTCTGATTGCAGATGATATCATCATTTCTGGATCAGCAAGCATATTTATTTGTTGACAC